TTTTGTGTGCGATGAGGGTTGGCGGCTGGGCCTCGTCTATTATTTTTTTTATTATACGATTTATATAGCCCCAAAGGTTTTGCTCAGCGCTGACATTATAGGGGGGGGACAGAACATGAGCAATACAGAAAACAATAAATACAAGGGGTTCGGGGCCCTCTTTTTTTGAGTTACAATTGGAGGGAGGGGTGGGGTACAGGGGAAGGCTTGGGGAAGGGAGTGGTAGGAGGAGGGAGGGATCAGCTGTAGGTGAGGGTGGGGGGGGGCTTCCTAAAGAGATGGGTTTTGGGTGTGCGCTAAAGGAGAGGAGGGGAGTGGACAGTCCCGATGGAATTGGGGTTAGTGAGATCCAAGCATGGGAGAAGTCCCTGGAGGAAGTCCTGCAGTCGGGCGTGGGAGGTGGAGACCAGGAAGCTAGAAAGTAGGAGAGGTCTTTGTGAGGAAGCGAAGAGCTAACGTGTTGGGTGGCATTGGGGTATCGAGGTCGGTGAGGTAGTTTTGGGGCTAGCGTTAAATGGCTTTGTATGTCGAGATGTTAAGTCATATTATGAATTTAAATGCTTTGGGCAACTCGGGACGCCAGTGGAGGGACTGACGCAGAGGGGGGTGAACAGATCCCTCGCGGTTTAGTAAGGTGGAAGAGTCGAGGCCGCTGAGTTCAGGATAGGACTGAAGCGGGTGTATAGTCCTCGATGGGGCAGTGAGGAGAGTGCGGAGGGCACGTAAGGGGGGTGGCGGTAGGGAGAAGCATGAAATAGGGGGGGGGGGTTGGGTTAAGGTAGAAGGACAGTTGGACTTTGGGAGTATTTCGGGACTGATTAGTAGAGCGCTGTAGCAGGAAGCGAAGAGGGTTGTAGGAGCGATCGGGGGGAACAGGGTCGGTTTGAACGGACAGGACCCTGAGCCTAGAGTGACACCTCCGGGAGGAAGAAGGGGGGACTTAGGGCGTGGAAGAACGGGAGGTGTCGGATGGTAAATAGGAATAGGTGATGAGTCGGCAGAGCGTCCTATGAGAGCTATTGCTTATTTTCTCATATGAGGGTCACAAGGGCTCTGGTAAGCCTGAGGAGTACTGGTGATACCGGGAGAGAATGGTCCATCGGGGCCCAGGCTATCTTGGGGATCCGCGGCCATTTCAATGGAATGTGCACGCGGATGCATTAGGTGAGCAGTGACTAGTTGGGAGTGGACTCGTTCGAGGCATTTGGTAACGGCAGGGGCATTTTTCACTTCTTATTTAGGTAGCTGAGCATATTAAGTATCAGGCGTGCTCTGTGGTGACAGGGGTGGTACTGCCGTCACAGTCACAGAAGGAGGGGCGTATATGATATCTGGATGTTGGGAGTGCGCCTGGACGGGGACAGTGTCATTTCTGGTAACAGCAACCGGCGGCTCATAGGGAAAGGTGGAGCGCGTTATAAATCCCAAAAAGCTTGGTTTTTGGTGATGTTTATTTGGGGATGTAGCACATAAGGAAGAGCGTGATCCCATAAAATGTTTGTAAACCCATTGGTGACTACTCATATGGCCTCTTTATATGAGTTGCCTCCACCCTCCTTTGGAAAATAAAAAATATACCGCAAAGGACATTTCCACTGACTCAAAAAAGAAACTTGTACAAAACAAAGCAAGGACACAACACCTGACCTCAACAGCACTGCCTCAGAGCACACTATCAAAGGAAGAATCATATTTAATCATTCCTTGTCTGCAGATCTAAAAACTCATCAGTTCAGAGACCAACAAACCCAACAGAGAAAAGGGGAATTTCTGATCTGACAGACCAGTCCTGGGACCTAGAAAAGTGTAGCAAACACTAAACAGTCCAGACTGAAATGTGTTTCCCATGGGGACAGTAGTTCTTAAATGTCCAGCAACCCTCCTATCCCCCCCTCACATCCAATAATTGTGCAACCAAATAATTCTTACTTTAATTTCCCAAAGTTATCCATCTACAAGGAGACCTGTATAGATCACATGATGGCACCAATGAGGATGGAGGAGGACCGAAGTCACATGACTGAGAAGATACTAAACCTCACCCCTGGAGATCATCTACCTGCTGACCGGAGAGGTGAGGAGGATTCTGGGAGGTCACATGACATCACTCTTATCTCTATTAATAAAACACAGACCTGACCGGAGAGGTGAGGAGGATTCTGGGAGGTCACATGACATCACTTTATCTCTATTAATAAAACACAGACCTGACCGGAGAGGTGAGGAGGATTCTGGGAGATCACATGACATCACTCTTATCTCTATTAATAAACACAGACCTGACCGGAGAGGTGAGGAGGATTCTGGGAGGTCACATGACATCACTCTTATCTCTATTAATAAAAACACAGACCTGACGGAGAGGTGAGGAGGATTCTGGGAGGTCACATCACATCACTCTCATCTCTATTAATAAAACACAGACCTGACAGGAGAGGTGAGGAGGATTCTGGGAGGTCACATGACATCACTCATCTCTATTAATAAAACACAGACCTGACCGGAGAGGTGAGGAGGATTCTGGGAGGTCCGGAGAGGTGAGGAGGATTCTGGGAGGTCACGTGACATCACTCTTATCTCTATTAATAAAACACAGACCTGACCGGAGAGGTGAGGAAGATTCTGGGAGGTCACGTGACATCACTCTCATCTCTATTAATAAAACACAGACCTGACCGGAGAGGTGAGGAGGATTCTGGGAGTCTAACATGATATTCCTATTGGTTCCTCAATACAGAGATTTCCTCTTCTGAAGTCAGGTGATCATATGACCATCACAGTGCCTCCATGTGACTCCCTAAACCCTGAGAGAGACACAACATGCAGAAGATTCTAGAAGTCACCAAGAAGATGATGGAGCTGCTGACAGGAGAGGTGAGCGGTGCCGGGAATTCTGGGACATTCTCCAGTAACAGACAAGGGATGTGTCTGGATGGTGACTGTATCATTGTGTGTGTCAGGTTCCTATAAGGTGTCAGGGTGTCACTGTCTATTTCTCCATGGAGGAGTGGGAGTATTTAGAAGGACACAAGGATCTCTACAAGGACGTCATGATGGACAATCAGCCGCCCTCACATCACCCGGGTAAGAGGAGACTTTATTGTAAAGGAGAGAGAGCAGTACGGAGGATCCACCTAGATCCCCCATCATCTGATAAACACATAGAAACAATGGATTCAGTCAGTGTGTGTGTTTCCTACAGATGGATCCAGTCATGGGAACCCACCAGAGAGATGTCCCCGTCCTCTGTATTCCCGGGATTCCACACAGGAAGGTCACACCATCCCTCACCATCATCAGGTAGATGAGGAACAATCACTGATAGTATCATTAGGATCTGTACATTATCTGCATTGTTACCATTGATGTCATTTTATTATATATTCAGAGTGGAAACCTGAGAGATCCTAAAGTTGAAGTTAAAGAAGTGATAAAAGAAGAAGAGGAGGATGATGAGGATGGGGGGATGGAGGAGTCAGAGCTTCTAAAAGAACACAAAGATCTGTACGAGGACACCACAGTGGAGTCATTTAGCTACAGGAACCCACCAGAGAGATGTCCCCGTCCTCTGTATTCCCGAGATTCCACACAGGAAGGTCACACCATCCCTCAACATTACAAGGTTGGTGGGATGGAAAGTCTAGAACATAAACTCAAGAAGACAATGTATGGATTATTTTTGTAATGTTACCATAATAAAACTTACATTTTATAGATGATATTTTCTCCTATTATCTTGGTTTAGGGTGAAGATCTGATAAAAGTTGAGGTTAAAAGCAGAAGAAGAAGAGGCGTATGTGAGGGGGATGATCAGCAGTCTATGGAGGAGGATGGAATAACGGGGACATTTATAGAGGAGGACACTCCTACAGAGATCAGCACAGGTGGGTCATGAACACTAAATCCATTCCTCCACCCATACTGCTCACTGATTGGTCCAGAGTAGGGCGGGGGACTGGGTGATATCAGCCTGTAATCCCCTGGTCACTTTCCTGAGCTGTGTTCCCCGTCCTGTATTCCTGGGATTTCTCTCGGATAATCTTCCTTCTCTGTGCTGCAGACACAATTTATGTATCTCCTGGACCTCTCTGCAGCCTTTGACACAGTTGACCACCCCCTCCTCCTTAATAAACTACTCTTCCTTGGCATCAGAGATACCGCTCTCTCTTGGGTCTCATCCTACCCATCTCGATGCTCCTTCAGTGTCACCTACAATGGTGCCACCTCCCCCTCCCTCCCCCTCTCTGTTGGGGTCCCCCAAGGCTCTGTCCTTGGACCCCTTCTCTTCTCCATCTACACCTCCTCCCTGGGCAAACTCATACACTCCCACGGCTTCAACTATCACCTCTACGCTGACGACACCCAAATCTACCTCTCCACCCCTCTCCTCACCCCCACTATCTCCGCCCGCATCACTCACCTCCTAAATGACATCTCAGACTGGATGTCGCTACATTTCCTCAAGCTCAACCTCTCCAAAACCGAGCTCCTCGTCTTTCCCCCTGCCCACACCCCCCCCCCCCCATCCTATCCATCATCACCAACAACTCCACTATCACTCCCGCCCCGCAAGCCAAAGTCCTTGGCGTCATTCTTGACTCGAACCTCTCCTTCCAACCGCATGTCAAATCACTCACAAACACATGCAGGCTCCATCTTCGCAATATTGCCAAGATACGTACCTTCCTCACCCCTGACACCACCAAACTTCTAGTACACTCCCTCATCATCTCACGCCTTGACTACTGTAATTCTCTTCTCACCGGCCTACCCCAGTGCAGGCTCTCCCCGCTTCTGACCATCCTGAACTCAGCGGCTAGACTCATCCACCTCACCACCACCTCCACCTCTGCCACCCCCCTCTGCCTCTCCCTCCACTGGCTCCCGATTGCCCAACGCATCAAATTTAAACTTCTAACCCTGACCTACAAAGCCATTCACAACACTGCCCCTAACTACCTCACCAACCTGATCCCCAAGTACCACCCTACCCGTACCCTTCGCTCCTCACTGGACCTCCTTCTATCTTGCTCCCTGGTCTCCTCCTCCCATGCACGACTGCAGGACTTCTCCAGGTCCTCCCCCATCCTCTGGAACTCGCTGCCCCAATCCATCAGACTGTCGCCTTCCCTCTTCACATTCAGGCGCTCCCTCAAAACCCATCTCTTCAGGGAAGCCTACCCCACCCCTCACCTAACGGCCATTCTCCCTCTTTCCTCCCACCCCTCATTCCCCTTAGCCACTTCCTATTGTTCCACTACCCCCCCCTCCTAGATTGTAAGCTCGAAAGAGTAGGGCCCTCTTACCCCTCGTACGTTGTTTGTTATTGTTGTACTGTGCCATGTATTGTCCCCCCTATTGTACAGCGCTGAGCAAACCCTTTGGCGCTATATAAACTTGATGTAATAATAATAATAATAATAATGTATCTAGACTGGATTTATGGAGGTTCTGGGGTTCAGCTGGCAGCAAAATGTTGATTTTCATCATAGGCATTGCTCAATCTAGACAACTGATGCATGTGCTTTGGGTCTTCTGCCCCATGCCCAGGATTAGCAAGATCTCTAATGGAGGAATTCTCCCAGGGTTACTTGCTTTATTATCTGCTCACTGTGCTGGGTGGAGGGATATGTCTGTATACTTGTATTTGCCGATAATAATGCAATAAAATGTTCAACCATTTGGACCCTTAAACAGAAAGTGATAATGAGGGAGGAGTCAATACCCCAATGATGGTGGTCTTCAGGATCAGTCCAGTCTTCATCTTGGTTGTTCTCCCCCCCATCTTCACTCTCTGACCTCTGGTGGGGCTCAGCCCGCTGTTCTTCCTGACTAAATCATGGACTAAATAAGGAAGTGCAGTACTTCTTGTGTTGGGAAGATGGTGATGAGTGATAGAGGGGGTGGGGACCCTCGTCCTATAATCCCCTCATCACTGTCCCTCCTATAAAAGACAGTTCTGGTTGTTTCCTCACTCTCTGACTAAGGTCCATGAATAAAGAAATGACCTGGTAGGAGATCAGAGGAGCCATTTCCTAGTTCCCTTGAGGGTGGAATTGTAAGCTCCTCAGAGACCAAGCTGCCTGATGTGGGCGGAGTCCTGGTTTGGGGGAACCAATCAGCTCCTGTCTAGTAATCCTCTTTGTCTTTGTATTTTAGTCCATGGCCGGGAGATGAGGAAAACCTCTGAGGATTGTCTCACTTTGTCTCCAGACTGGAAAGTAGAAGATGAGGACATCACACAGTATAGTCCAGGAGAAAACCCGGCTCCCTCCAATGTCCATCCGGCACCACCCAGTGTAGATGGACCATCGGATTCCTCGTATCCTGAGGAACCTCAGACTGTGCGGGAGACCGGGCCGGCCTTCCAACAGGGAAGAGCTTCTCCTGTGCTGAATGCGGGAAGAGTTTTTCTGAGAAATCGAGTCTTTGTGCCCATGAAAGATTGCACATGGTGAGAATCAATATTCCTGTCCTGAGTGTGGGAAATTCTTTTTGGATAAGTCACATCTTTACATACATAGAAAATCTCACATAGAAGAGAAGCCACATTCCTGTTCTGAGTGTGGGAAATTTTTTTCAAGGACATCTAGTTTTTACAGACATCATAGATTGCACAAGGGTGAGAAGCCGTATTCCTGCCCTGAGTGCGGGAAATGTTTTTCAGAGAAATCCAAACTTTACAAACATCAGAAATTACACACGGGGGAGATGCCATACTCCTGCTCTGAGTGTGGGAAATGTTTTTCAGACAAGTCCTTTTATCTCAGACATCGGAGATTGCATACAGGCGAGAAGCCATATTCTTGTCCTGAGTGTGGGAAAAGTTTTTCACAGACATCACATCTTTACACACATCAGAGATTGCACACAGGTGAGAAGCCATTTTCCTGTCCTCAGTGTGGGAAAAGTTTTTCCATGAAGTCCAACCTTCACCGACATCAGACATTGCACACGGGGGAGAAAGCCGTATTCCTGTTCTGACTGCGATAAATGTTTTGTACAAAAATCAGAACTTGTCATACATCAGAGATCTCACACGGGGGAAAAGCCGTTTTCCTGTCCTGAGTGCGGGAAATGTTTTTCAAGGAAGACCAATCTTTTCAGACATCAGACATTGCACACGGGGGAGAAGCCGTTCTCCTGTCCTGTGTGTGGGAAATGTTTTGTACAAAAATCAAAACTTATCACACATCAGAGATTGCACACTGGGGAAAAGCCGTATTCCTGTCCTGAGTGCGGGAAATGTTTTTCAGAGAAGTCCAATCTTTGCAGGCATCGGCGATCTCACACGGGGGAGAAGCCTCTTCCCTGTCCTGAGTGAGGTAAATGTTCCTCACTGAAGTCCTGTCTTCCTGTACATCAGGGGTCCCACACAACCCTGGAGGTGTATTAGTGCCTTGAGTGTGGGAAATGTCTTCTAGATGAATGTTGCTGGACATCCCAGCTCTCATGTGGGGAAGAAGCACACCCTGATATACACCTCAGATATACTCCATGGCTGATCTTCATCATGGAAGAAACAGTTCATAAGGAGATCAGAGGTCCTCAAAGACATGGATGAAGTGTGGGATCGGGTTGGCCATTGATAGCAGGAGAAGAATAAAAATGGAGTCATCACCTTTCATTGGCTGAGTACATTTTGTGGTGGGAGATTTCACAAACACCTAGGATCCATGCACACTAGGCAGCTGAAAAAAAAAATGGCAGAAAAACGTTCATAGTGGCTCCAATTTCACAAGAGTTTATGAGCATTTGCTTTCATAGTTGTTTTTTTTTTTTGCTAAATTTTCCCCTTCACTCATTTTTAGCTATAATCAATGTACATTTGAAACCGCTGAACACGCCTAAATATCATTTGATGTGGATCACGCTCCCAACACTCCTCAGCAAATATGCATGTAAATAGAAAAATGGCGAAAGAAAAAAAAAATGCTAAGAGCCTCTATAAGCAGCATTTTTATGCCCAGTGTGGATGAGGTCTATTTAAAAAAAAAAAAAATTAGATGAATTGTGACTAGTATTCACCCAGCTGTGACAGATTTTGGCAGTATTTTATTTCGTACAGTGATTTCCTGTGATCTTTGGCTCCATCTACTGGCCATAATGCTGTATTGTCTATTTTTACTTTTACAAATGAAGGTATTTGATGAAAAATACCACATTGCGGCCACTGGTGGAGCTGGCCATTGTAGGAAATCAATTTGTTAATTTAAATATATCCAGAATTTGGAAGTGTAGCGACTGCGCTCAAGGGTGGATGTCTAAGCCTCGCGCTCCACTCAGCCATTGGGGAGATTCACCTGCATCGGAGCCTCCACTACTAACAGCAGAGCTCCCACCGGCCTCATCAGCCTCCTCGATCCCCGCAGCATACCCAGGCGCTGGAGGGAATAGCCACAGCCCCGGAAACTGTTGGGTTTCTTCCCGACAGTATAGTCTGGGCTAGAACAAAATGACGTGGGAGCCATTCCAGTTGACAGGATAGCGCTGATCCCAGCAAGCCGCAGAGCTGCACACATCCTTGGAACAGCCAGATGACGAGTGCCTCATGAAGTGGAACATCCTCTGGTGTCTCTACACCTTCCACCAGGACCCCGTGAAGTCTAAGCAGTGCTGGAACCCAGTGCCGGAGCCCAATCCCTGCATGGAGGTAAGTGCATCACAGGCCTCTAATGCTGGGATGGCTTCTAAGTCCTCTGCTCCAATAGATGAATTTCCTACTTTGGGGTAACCTGTCTTTGGTACAATGCTGAAGGAGATGCTGATCTTGAGGGCATCCCTGCATTCTGATATAGGGCCGTGCATGCACCAGTTCAAAGCAGAGGTCCAAGAATTGTGTAGAGAGACACAGCACCTCTAATTTAATCATCGTAAAACAGAGGTTAGGCCACTCACATTTTAAAATCAAGGTCCAGGCTCATCTCAGGTAGGTGACAGGATCGCCAAGGTGTCTGGATGAGTGCTGTGGTGTGGCAGATGTTGGATGGCATGGAATAATCGTTTCACAGGCTCTGTCAAGGTGAGACTCTAGATCTACACACTTGACACCTTGTCCCCTGGCAGTTTGAACGAAGATTTGGTAATAGCTACCATTCTATAACTCCCGTTATTGACCATGCTTACACTTTTTTAGTGGTTGATCCAACCTACTCACATTTTTATTCCATGTAATTACAGCCATTGGTCCTCTGCGCCATTTAGTAACACGCTCATTTTGCTAACCCCGCCCCCTTAATCTTTAAGAACCCAGCCTAGTCTGCTCGGACTGTAGCTTGAAAAAGAGCACGTGTGTCCGTATCAGACCTCGTGCATGCTCAGAAACGCGTTACTACTCTGGTGACTTCATAACATGTTCCACAGTGCACTCCATCATCGACTCCCTGGAATAGAGGAGCCCACCAGCTTCCCTGTTCCACACCGCCTAACATCTGCCATACCATAGCGCTCACCCGGACACCTTGGCGATCCTGTCACCTACCTATGAGATGAGCCTGTACCCTGATTTTGTGAGTGGCCTAACCTCTGTTTAATAAATTGTCTACACTTAGAGGCACTGTGTCTTTTTTTTTTTTCTCTGCATGATCTTGGAGCCAGCTTCTGCTCTTCACACAGCCTGCCAAATGGATGGACTTTTCTTAAACATTAACATTGGACTTCCTTTCACTAGATACCTTAACAGGGTATTCCCTTTAACCAAGCTCCATGCACCTTATTTTCTGTATATCCAAGAATTGGGTGACAGATTAGATCATGTGGAAAACACTATGGGTGAATACTCCACTTCTTTCAGTATATTAGTGGATGCCCACACAGCCCAGGCACGGGAAATCACATGGCTTAAGGCTAAAGTGGCAGACCGCTCCATGAGAAATAACCTCAAGATAAGAGGCGTTCCAGAGTCTTTAGAAGCCCTTCAGTTGCGGTCATGATTTATTCCCCCCCGGTTCCATCACTCTCTGCCAATAACTCACTATTGACAGGATCCACCAGGTGCCTAAATCTTCTTTCCTGCCCTCAGAAGCCCTGCGGGCACATTATTATAATGCGAAGGAGAACATTTTGGCAGCTTATTGCCACACAGAGCAACATCAGCAACAGTACTCCATGCTACAACTACTACCAGACCTGTCTCACCATACCCTTCAATCCCGTCAAAACCTAGCCATGGTTATGAAGGCCTTTAAGAATCATGAAATTGAGCACCGGTAGAAATACCCAGATAGGCTTACCATCACTCCAAAAGGAACCACCATTTAGTATCTACTTTTGAAGAAGGTCTGCAGGCTCTCCGTCAATGGGGAATACTCCTGGTATCCTCTGCCTTATCTTGAAATCCTTGCAAGGAATGGCAAGTAGCATCCCATAAACGCTCCTCCAAACAACATGCTAATGGAGACTCCTGATCACCACCACTCAAGACAACCTCTCAATTCCCCAGCCATATAAGAGTGATGACCACCTTCCTTTGTTTCCCCCAGTTACCATTGCAGTATTTCCTACACTCGGGCCTACCATTGGGTACTTTTTTTAGTATAGCTCTGTTGCTGCTAAATGTTTTTGGTTGTTTTCACCATGTTTGTTTGCTTCTTGGTACATACATCTTCTCCATGGATGCTCTGCTTGAACTCATTCCTACAAGTGCCTTCCAATGTCCTCTAATGTGCCTGAAACTACCAGCACCTGCTGCTCCATGTGCTGAAGTCATTGTGGCCAAGTGGGACACCTGCTTCACATCCTCTGGGAGTGCCCCAGTTTTTGGAGACAAATCTCTCAAATAATATCTACATTTTAACACCCTCTCACCCAGCTTTAGCCCTTTTCAACGTTGGTATTGATAACTATCCGCATATGTTCCACTCCATTGTCACACATATACTGTTAGGGGTACATTCTATTATTCTTAGAAACTGGAAGTCCATACTGGCCCCAAACCCTTCTGAAGGGATCGTTTTAGTCCATCAAAATTATACTTCTGAGTATTTATTGGTGTTAAATTCATTGAATTGTGATACATTTACCAAGTCTTGGAAAATATGGACAGCAGTTTGTTTAAATTATAAATCTTACAGGTATGTATAGTCTCGGGTAGGGATGATACCAGTATCGGTGCCAATACCGAGTGAGCTTGCTTGTGAAAATGCTTCCAATACCCGAAACCATACCTCCCATCTTATTAGGATGGGAATGAGGGACACCTATTAGCAAATGTATGTAGGCATAGGACACCCCCCTGACATGCCCCCTTTAAAGAGAATTATACAAAAAAATATTAGTTAAACCCACAAGTGCTTTTTTTTTTTACCACTACTATTCCTTTACACTGGCTTTTGAAATTTACAAACACAGCAATTTAGAAATTGGATGAAAGGTTTAGCACTGGGAAACACTTTTTGAAAGATAAAAAGTGCATTTTATATACAACTACAGTGCATCCAGAAAGTATTCCCAGCGCTTCACTTTTGCCGCATTTTGTTATGTTACAGCCTTATTCCAAAATGGATTAAATACATTTTTTCCCTCCACATTCTACAAACAATACCCCATAATGACAACATGAAAGAAGTTCATTTTGAAATCTTTGCAATTTATTAAAAATAAAAAAAAAATAAAAAAACCCATGTACATAAGTATTCCCAGCCTTTGCATGACACTCAAAATTGAGGTCTGGTGCATCCTGTTCCCACTGATCATCCTTGAGATGTTTCCACAACTTGATTGGAGTCCATCTGGGGGACATTCAGGTGATTGGACATGATTAGGAAAGGCATAAACCTGTCTATATAAGGTCCCACAGGTAACAGTGCATGTCAGACCACAAACCAAGCCATGAAGTCCAAGGCATTGTCCGTAGACCTCCGAGACAGGATTGTATCAAGGCACAGATCTGGGGAAGGGTACAGAAACATTTCCGCAGCATTGAAGGTCCCAATGAGCACAGTGGCCTCCATCATCCATAAATGGAAGAGGTTTGGAACCACCAGGAATCTTCCTAGAGCGGGCCGCCCGGCCAAAATGAGCGATCGAGGGAGAAGGGCCTTAGCCAAGAAGGTAACCAAGAACCCAATGGTCACTCTGAAAGAGCTCCAGCTATTCTCTGTGGAGAGAGGAGAAACCTTCCAGAAGAACAACCTTTGCAGCACTCCACCAATCAGGCCTGTATGGTAGAGTGGCCAGACAGAAGCCATTCCTCAGTAAAAGGCAAATTGCAGCCCACCTGCAGCTTGCCAAAAGGCACCTG